ATTATTCTTTTTCTTTTCTTTTTTTATGATTTCACAATGCCATCCATCTATAATGCTATTCGTCCTTCTCTCTATTTTCTATCTTTTCACCAATCAATCCTTTTATCTTATCTTTTATTTGTTCATATCCCTGTCATTTCTATCTTTCCATCCTTCCATTCATTTTCCAATTATTATGCACATTTATCTGCACACCCATTTTTTCAGAGAACTTTTTTATCCATAACATCAATATTTTCTTAAGTATACATTCTTCAATCATGCATATTTTTGTTAGTTGACAATGTTATTACGTTATTTTTATTAGGTTGTTGCTCAAGAAGCCTGGGAAAGTCATTTACAAAGGAATGACTCCATCATTGTGGACATTTTTCATGGTCAATTTAAGTCTACTCTAGTCTGCCCTGAATGTGAAAAGGTAGATTAAATATCATGGGCTCATGTAAAGTAATAGAAAACAACAACGTTCAAGATTTCAGCAGGATTTTAAAAAAGGGGATTAAGATTAAAAAGATATGACAGAGTACGTCCATACAATTCAGAAACATAAATACCCAGACTTTTTATTAGGTTTCAGTGACTTTTGATCCATTCTGCTACCTGTCTCTTCCACTACCAGTAAAGAAAGAAAGATACTTGGAGGTCTTATTGATAAGAGATGACCCTATGGAGAGACCTACTGAGGTAATATCGATTAATCACTCTATTCAATTATAGTTGAAATCTAATTATCATACTATTTTACAAATTAAGTTCAAGGTCTCAGTTCCCAAGATGGGTACAATAAGTGATCTAGTAAATGCTTTGTGTAAAGAAGATGCTAGTCTACAGAAAGATAGGGTATGTCAACTTATAGGTGATATTGTAAATATATGGATGTCCATGTCAGTAAATGCCTTTTTTTTCAGTTGATTGTTTGTGATGTGTACAATCATCGTCTTCATAAAGTATTCAAATCAAGAGACTCCCTGACTCAAATCCTTGAAAGGGATGACATTTTTGTGTAAGTGATGTGACAGCTATACATAATAACAAAGATAGCAAGTTTAATGTAATTATCAATATTGTAATTGGTTTCTGAAATGCTTTTCCTTCACTATTTTGAAAGGTAGCCATGCCTAAATTTATCTGTAGATGAAGGAAGATTCCTTTCCCTCACTTTAACAATGATTTAATTTGTAGTGACGTGACTTTCCAATGAAAGAATACCTGTTTAAAAATGATTTTCTTTATATATTCCTATTATTGTATATGCATAACTTCATTCAAAAACCGTTAGKTATCAATATTAAAAGAAGACCATTGAGTTTACTTAATATTCAGTGCAAATAATACCCAAATATGAAGTTTGATTTGTTGAGCAAGTTGAAAATTTACTAATTTTGTCRTAAGGTATGAAATGGCTTCAAACTTTGAAGATCCAGAGATGGTCACAATACCAATATACAGCAGAGAAAAGAGGTAAGAATTTTTAAATGTGCTTTATTTCAGTAACAATRATAGAGCGGATTTCGTATGAGTGGGAAACGGATGGTACTGTACTCTGACCGTAATCGTACTGTAACCAAATTCAAGTGCCCCATTGGTTCACCTAAATTGTGCAGGSCAGGTCCGGTAACTGTGCGGTAACCGYGCGGTAACRGTGTCCCACTCATACGAAATCGGCTCTAATATGACTCTGGTACATCTACTTGCAAAGTGACTGTGTTATTGGAAGTAATGTTCATCACATCTTGGTGTATTTGTACAACAGATCAAGGGTTGCAAATTATAGTCACAGCTCATCTAAGATTCTGTTTGGAAATCCTATGTTTCTTACTGTTCCAAAGAAAAAGACTTCCTTCAATACTATATACAATGCAGCCTTGAACAAAATGAGGTATGAATACTGATAATTTCTGAAACAAACATTGTACAAACCATTAATTTTTGAAATTTTATGTAAARTGCAAGGTCTTGTCAAACACATATYTCTCTAACTCAAACTAATCAATCTACTTAACCTAACATTGTTGCATGCTGGTACAGAAGTAGACCTCAATCACAAACAACTATTCTCTTTTCATAACTGTATTGTTATGAAAAGATTGATAAAGTTTTAGGATTTTCCATGTTTAATTCTAGTAGGTAATTATAATATTTGAATTAAAAATGATAAYAATCATTGTTCATACATTTGAAGGAGATTCCTAAATGTTTACGAAGAAACGACAGAAGAAGAGCCACCAACAGAAAATGGTGATGTTGAGATGAATGATAAAAATGAAGCAAGTGATGAAGAACTAGAGAAAGAATACCAAAAAAATGTCACAGTAAGTAAATAATGCAATAGTTCTACCTGATGAATGGGTTGACACTGCGGTGTTCAATCACTTAAGCCTTTCTAATTCTTCACAAGGACCAACAATATGTAAAATAATACTGATATTATATTAAGCAGAAAATGATCAAGAATATCAAAAATCATTTTCTGATATGTAATCATTATTGGTGTATTTCATCACATCTCACATTGTCATTGTAACATGTAAATATTTATGTTATGTTGGATGTCAACTGATTGCAGTTAACAGCCAAAAGCSRTTCTATTTTACTTAATGCACATTCAATGTGGGATGACAAGAGTGCTTTGTAAAGTGATTCAAGCATGATCAGTTTGCCCCATTTATCCCAAAACGTATTTTTACAGCAATTTCTCCAAGAATTTTAACGGATTTSAGTTTCAAATTAGTGTTGGAGTTTTTGAAGCCGTTAACTATACATCATTTTTTGACTTTAGAAATTATATCATAATATTTTTGAGTAAAATTGCTAAAAATGATACCCTGGTTGGTGGCACGTCCCCGTATAGCGAATATAGGGGAGTGCCCCCCCCCCCTTTGTACAATTGTTTACATGTAAGAGAAAAGTTATGAAATGATCTAAAGTCACCAAAATATGTTAAATTATTATATATCAAGTGTCAAAGTTCACTTTTCCTAGTATCTTATTGGTCGAGAGTGTACCACGTGAAAGTCACAAAATTTTACTGTTTCCCGGCAACTGTCCACCAGCGGTCAATAATATGTTGTGGACCGTCAATAAGTACAAAATTGCAGAAAAACACTCTTCAGCTGTGTCGTGAAAATGTCACATTTACGGACGKTGMATTCCAAAATTGTTWTGAAACATTAAATTTCAWCTACAAATAGTTATTGTATTCATTGTGTTATTACATTGATTGATTTTAGTGACATTTGACTATTTGTATTGCCATTTTTCAGTCATTTTATCAAAATCTTTAATAAAAACACTTCATYTATTTACTTTTTTGCTCTCTTTGACACTTGATATGTTCGGGAAACATCAGCGGTCTCGGGACCACAAAACATACTGTTTCCCTCGGTTCCAGTAAATAAGTGTTAAATGTATGACAGACAGACATTGTTCAAAGAAGTGCGCATTTCAAGCAACAAGGTCGCCATCTTGGATCACATCCTACTCGTTCTCAGACTCCCAAAATACCCAGGAAGCCCATGATTGTCACCTTCATCATTTCTATTTTTTAATTATTTATTGTAAATTTGTTGTTACATCGAATTATGGCATAAAATAATTTAAAATTATCATCATCATGTTATATCACATATTATTAAAAATAAATCACTAAATATTTCCTCAACAGTAACAAGAATTTATCATTTTACACAACAATTTATCTTTTTACACAACAGTAACAAGAATATCTGACTTTATTTCAATATGCATACAGTTTTTCTGTCTGGTGTCTATTTCCTACGAAAAGTAGAGACGAAATAATAGTTTCTTATTTTTGTGCCAATCAACCATAAAAAAGCAACAATGATGATCCGTATTAACTATCTTAACAATCATCATCAACCATAAAATCAATRTTGGTATGGGAAACATCACTGTTGTCATAAAGATTTCATCGTAATCGGCGAAGAAAARATTTCTCACAGAGATAGTTTCCATCTATTGGGGCACATGCAGCTGTGTCTTGGGATGCCATTACACAAAAGTATCGCCAMAACTTGTAATTGGTTAGCTTCAAATTGTCTGTTGGGCTGCACWCAAGGCACTCTTTCAGTGCATCAGTGAAAGGTTGAAGWGGTTCCAAGGCTGATTGARCTAAATGAAACTCCRATGAGCCAAAGGATGGTACATTTATCTCTATAACCTCATCATTTCCTGGAAGATGAATCCTTCCTGATGTTGAAATTCCTGGATGAACATTTAAGGATATTTCTAGAGTAGCTTCTTTGCCTTTTAGTAAAGTGACACTTGCTTTAACTTCGACAACTATTTTACGCTGTCCTTCTTCTGTAACTTGATACTGTCGAACATCAGGACAAAAGCTTGTCCTAAGCATCAACTTAAGTAAAGAGTCTASAGTAAAATCTTGTTGCAATTCACAGACATTCAGATAACAGGAAAAATTATCCATTGGTATACTYGGAGGTAMGAATTTGRCCATTTTGTTTATTTCTTKGATATTTAAAGACTCATCTACAACATTCACGAAACTTYTAAATGAATCGGGTTGGTTCTCCAATAAAGCAAGGGTATTTTGCAGTGACTTTTTGGTTGGTTTGGCATTTCGCGCTTCATCCAGGAAGMATGGTTTTTCTTGTTCAAGATCTGCAAGATCMACATTAGGATTGATCTCAAGTAATTCTTGTGGGAGGAAAAAACTTTTAACCAGGAACTTGGCTGTAATTGGTGGATTAGTCGTTCCTATTTCTCTCTGAATGTAACCTTTCATTTCTCTGAAAGGTTCAATCTCTTCCATGTCGTCATTCCAGCTCTCCAAATATTCACTAAACTCAAGGACTTCTTGTTTACTTGAACCCCAGATTTGACGGAATTGAATAGACAAGCAGTCGCAGTCTAGACTTTCGTCATGAGTAAAGTATATCGAGATCGGTTCCTCAGATGGCGAAAATAGAACTTCCACACTTTTGTCCAAGACATACCCAGTCGGTCTATTTTCYCCTTTTTCTTTGGGCTTTCTCCACGTTTTGTASTCACTCATCCTGACAAAGAGCTCGGCTGCTACCGGCCCTCTTGATGCCCACACCTTCTGTACATTTTYCAGTGTTGGCTTCATTACCTTGCTGATGTTCGCCCATCGTAAAATCTCTGGTAAAGTTACTGTAGATAAAGGGCAAACACCAAGAACACAAGACATCTCGAGGAGGACAAATCGCGCGGCATAAAACCTGGTCTTTCTCTTCACAATGTTGAGGTGCCAGTTCCTAGTCCACAAAGAAGCTTTGTAGAATTGTTTACATGTAAGAGAAAAGTTATAAAATGATCTRAAGTCATCAATATACGTTAAAATGTATGATAGACAGTCATCGTYCAAAGAAGTGCRCATTTCAAGCAAGGAAGTCGCCATCTTRGATCGCATCCTACTCGTTCCCAGACTCCCAAAATACCCAGGAAGCCCATGATTGTCATCTTCATCATTTCTATTTTTTATTATTTATGGTAAATTTGTTATTACATTTGATTATGGTCGCCACCTTGGATCTTACTCAACTCGTTCCTTGCCTAGACACTCAAAACGCACAGGAAGCCCAATTATTTGAAAACCGTAGTGACAAGTGTGGATTCATGCAACCACTTGGATTTATGTTTACAGGGGCGGCAACCACTTGGATTTGTGTTTACAGGGGCGTCGGGGGCAATCATAGACTTATAGCGATGACGGCACATGAACTTTTTCAAATGCATTTTACAACGAATTTTAGGTCTTGTTGTTATGGTCATCTTTCTATTATTATTGTTATTTAGGTATATTTAGATATTTGCAATTTTTAATCGTGTTTTTTCTTGCTTTGTAGGAAAATAATGGTGAAGATAGTAATGAAAGGAAAATCTTAAATTCCAACAACAAAACAAAAGAAAACAACAAGAAGACTAAACTGTTCAACTTGACGTTAGTTAACATGTATGGCACAAATGATATCCAGTCATTAACAGATGATGACAAACCCATCAAGCTAACAAGTAAGGCCATTGTCTAGTACTGTYTTACCCATGTTTTTAATGCTCAATTAGAAGATTGTGATAGTTTTACAAATTGGGTAGCAGTATTAATTAGTATTACCTACCATCATCTACACATTGAGCAAATCAGTTGTTGTTTSATGACAAATAGGTCAAAGTTATCTGTCTCTTGACTGGAATTCAAAGATGAAAGACAAACACTACAACACCCAACTTGCTGAGGTAAGACATTCTTATTAATTTATAATTAATTAGTAACATAACATTTTATTAGCGATGGTGGCAGGAAAATGACAATTTTCATGTCACTGTTAATTTCAGCTAGCTTTGCCCCTATAAGTTTGGGCAGGGACACTGCGACAGCATTAGCATGCAATTACTGCGGCTCCTGTACTCTCACACTCATTAACTCTACATTAAGTATTTTAGCACACAACACTCACACACGTGTTGATTTTTGCTGTGGGAGGAAAACTGAAGGACCCAGAGAAAAACACTTGTGGTAAGGGAGACAAGTGAACGACACATTAACAAACTCAAACTCACATATGGTCCGTGCCCGGGAATGTCGAACCCGGACCACAGCGGTGAGAGGCCAGCAGCTTAACCACTAGGCCACCCATGCCACCCTATTACTTTAATCTAATAAATATTCAATAAAACAATTCTACACTTCAGGAAAACAAGGAACATGACAGCATGACAAGAAAAATGACACAAAGAAAGAATGTCGTGAAGTTGAGTGACTGYATCCAGCTGTTTTCTACCAGAGAGAAGCTTGGCATCAATGATCCCTGGTRAGATAATTCAAAACTTTCARAATTCGTAWAGAAGACTGCTTACATTACATKCATTGCCTTAAGGTATTGCCCAGCTTGTAAGAAACACCAGCAGGCATCGAAAAAGCTAGACTTGTGGTCATTACCAGAAGTGTTGGTCGTTCATTTGAAACGGTTCTCATATACAAGGTAAGCTTGTTGGACAATCGTGTTTGTTTGTTTGCTTTACTGGGAAAGGTGGTTTAGATCTACTTACTAACTGGACAGTGATGCATGCTTGATGGCTGGATGGATGAATGATGGATGAATTGTTTGCTTTACTGGGAAAGGTGGTTCAGATCTACTTACTAACTGGACAGTGATACATGCTTGATGGATGGATGGATGAATTGTTTGCTTTACTGGGAAAGGTGGTTCAGATCTACTTACTAACTGGACAGTGAT